GAGATTAGTTATTTACAGGACGCGTTTCAGTTACTGAAACTGTTAATATTTAGTACGCTGTCCTTTCTTTTCAATGATCAAGTCCATTCTGTTATCCATACTTTCGATCGTTTTATTAATAATGCCAGTGTTCAGATTTCGAATAGTTGTTTCGACCCGTTCTGAAAATTGCTCGTAAGTTTCAAACGTTATGTTATACTTAATAGCATCTTGTTCCAGCAATTGCTTAATGATGTGAAATAGATTTTCTATACAGTTTATATCGGGACTCCTTGGTGGGATAGATAAAAGTTTTGCACCCATTTTTCGCCAGGCCGCGCGAGCTAAAGCACTGTTTTGACTTGGGTCACCATCCTGAAGGAAAAATCTGCGCCCTTCTTTGTCTGCTATAGTGAACATTCTTGGGAATTCACGTTCGACCAAGGATTGAAAATACCTGCCATTTAATGTCTCGTACTGTTCACACAGTATGACGCCCTTTCCGTAACTAACAGCTACCATGAATTTCCTCTTTCCGTAGACGTGGAATTTCCCGCAACAGGAGGCTTTCCTCGCGTGTTGTTAATTTTCGAGGGCGACCGGGTTTTCTTCGTTCTAATTGACATTCATTCCTTGGCTGTCTTTGTTGGAAACTGTCTTTATGACGAATGCGATATAGCGAAGCCCGGGAAATATGCGTTTTCTCTAATACTTCTTTCTCTGACCAACGTTTGGAATTCGCGGTAATTCGCACAAAAGCTCTTGTCTCCTCGGGAATCTTTTTACGGAAAATTATCCTTTTTGCTCGTCTCCTGACAGTCAAGGCCTCTGTTACATCACCATAATGGAATGAAACATTACGATTCTCAACGTTCTAATTCCTGCATTACCTCACATCGCGTGAGAAACTAATAACCCGCATAATAACATCTTGTAACCTTTTTCGACACTCTAACATCTATTTTGTTCTTCAGACAATCGGCTACAAAATTGTTGAGACACTTTCCTAAAAAGAGGTGTTTTGAGCTACCCTGAGAAAGGGTCCCCCCACCCCTCCCCCCTTGACAATGTTGGGTCGTCTCCGAGTGCCCACAAACCTTAAGGCCAGCGGTACAACATTGAATAGGAGGAGTGGGGAGGGGGGACCATTGAAAGGTATTTCACACCTTTTTAAAAAAGAACAAATAAAACCATGCTCACGAGATGTCTTTTTTCCGGAGGTGTCTCAACTAATTTTGTCGCCGATTGTAGGTATAATAATTGACAATAATCTTTCTTGGAAACATCCTATTGACCACGCAGCTATTAAAATGAGCCGAACTGTAGGATTGATCCGTAAACTACGGCATTTTCTGCCAAGACATACACTTCTAACTATTTATCGATCCCTTGTTGCTCCTTATTTAACTTATGGTTTGGCGGCCTGGGGCCAAGCATATAAATCGCACCTTGAAAAGCTTCTCAAGCTTCAAAAGCGAGCTCTTCGCTTTATCTATTTTTCTGAGCGAAATCAGCATGCAATTCCTTTATTTATTGACGCTGGTGTTTTACCGTTAAAATTTTTGTATTATGAGCATTTAGCTAACCTTATGTTTGAAATAAGACACAATAATGCTCCTGGAAATATTCAAGATCTCTTTCAAGATATTTCTGATATTCATTCTTATAATACTCGATCCTCTGCCTCTAATAACTTTTACACACAAAGTTCCAGACACTCAATTCAAGTGAATTCATTTTCTAGAATCGGAACAAAAATATGGATTGAAATGTCTGTATCTTTAAGAAAACTTTCAAAAAATGCCTTTAAGAGGAAAATAAAACAAACACTTTTTGAGATCCTAGCTTCAGAAGACTGTTATATTGATCTCCCAGAAATCGTTCAAAAAGTTAAGCTGAATTTATTTTCCTCTTAGTTGATATGTAATCATTAATATCGTTTAGTTTATCAGTAGTCTCTTGTCATAACTGTTGTCATTTATTATTAGTAATACCATTAGTTTATCGGTAGTCTCTAGTCATTGTTGTCAATTTTAGTTTCTTTAGTTCTCTTGTTACTTTTAGCTGTATTTAGTTTATTTTCTGTCAACATGACCCGCCTAGATTAGCTTAGCTACCCGCGGGCATGTTATTGTACTCTTACTTCAAAACACAATAAAATAAAATGTATGTAAATGTATGTAAATGTAAATGCAATAATGCCGATGCTCGCCGATACTCATATTTCGAGCTTGGGCTACCTGTGGAATCAGTGCATGTACGAGAAAGCCAAACATGAGGAGCCGCATAAAGTCTCTTTACTAATTACGTTGAGTGACGGTTGCTATGCTCAATTTCCTGTTATAATTTTACCTCCGATCTCGTGCAGGTTAGCAGGGGTCCGACTGGCTGTCATCGATAGTGATTTTCACAGAGGCGATGAAACAATCCTAAGGGACGGACCATTAGAAAACTTATGGGGGGGCGGGCGAAGTACAAAAAAAAAATTCGCGCAAGGGAAAATTAAATGAAAAAAAATTCTTGCAAGCCAATTAACCCTGAGAAATATTCATGCAAGAGCCTGAAAAAAATTCATGCAAGGAATTTGATAACGAAAAAAAATTCCTGCTGCTCGAAAATTCCCCCCCCCCCCCCCCATAACTTTTCTAATGGTCCGTCCCTAAATTTCGCAACTGTCTGGTAATATGGTTAAAACAGTATTAGCCGGGGTAAATATAGTCGAGCGCGGTCTATTCAACTATTCTCCGGATCGGATCATCCCGATCAAGCCATCATTGTATGGATTCTTTTTTACGGTATCCCGGTCGAGAATTTCTGTGTTGATTCAAACTCATTTCCCTTACAAGCTTGTTGGTATTTGAAAGAAAATTTTAACAGATCGAACAGGTTAGCAGAGTTCAAACTGAGATGGCCAGCCTTCCTTCGTCACATTGGTTCAGAAGCGAGGCCATTTCAGCCTTAAATCAGTAGGTTTACCTAGCGACACATTAATTCTGGTTTTTTTATGACTTGCTTAATCGTAAGACGCCTTGAAGGTAAGGACAATGTTCGATTCTTTTCCTTTAATTTATTTATTTCTGCCTCGAACATATCCGCGCCAAAATCTCCTAAATGCCCGCCAAATTTAATGTGGCGCGCTCGTGAGTGATCGTACAGTGTTTAGGAAGAAACAGGCCCAGCGCAACTTCCACTGGAGGCAATTTTGTGTTACTGCAAGAAGTACTCTTATAAAAAAGTCGAGAAGCTTCTTTATTATTAATTTCGCGCTACGTTTTCTCTATAAACAATGGAATGTGTTGAAAATTGCAGACATCCGTGTTTCATAATACACGTACACACTTAGCGGCCAAATTGCCACATATTTTATCATTTTACAGCTGTTTTGCTTGTTGCCGAAGTTTAAATGCTACATCATGATGAATTAATGAGAAAATTATCTTGTAGTCTGTAATTATGCGTAGTATTGCATTGTTGCATGCGTTCACTGCCTATGAAAACAATCGTTTTCCTAGTAGTATATCGGATAGGCCAACTGACTCCCACTGGTGGCAAATTGTGCTACAAAACCATAAATAAGGGATATTCGAAGTATAAACCTCACAAAAGCTTTTGATTTTGATCAACAACGAAATGAGTGACTAAAACGCGTTAAAAATAACACATGCTCGTGTTACCCATACCCCTACCGTCCTAAATGTACTTCACAGAGAAGGGTTGAGTGTTGCTCGTTATTTGTAAGTCTCTGAATCTTAGCAGCTTTCTTCTTCTTTTCTATAATTTTTACCGGGGAATCGAAATGAATTTTAGTTGATTGGTTGCGTCCATCGCCGTTCCCCCCTATTTGTTTTTCAAAAAAACACCACTGCAAGAACGCGTACGGTCTCTATTATTTTTCATTAACAGCCAGAGAGCTTTAATTCACCGAAACTAAAACAGATTCATAAAATGTACATGGTTCAGGGTATTCTGTACGTGCCTTTTATGTTGGGTGTGTCGCCTGATTAAAAGCGAGCGATCGGGTGAGTCGCCTTCGCTTAGTGCAAGAAGACTTTGTAAAACGCGTATATTTAATGAATCTTTCTGTAAAGAACGAGGCGGCCAAGGAAGCTTGAAAAATAGTTTTTGAAACGTCTTGCCAAATATGTTTTTATTTTGTTTGGGGATTGCTAAAATTGCTTTTCAACTAGACGCTGTAAAATTCGCAATTGAACTTATTCTTCGGATTCAAAACAATGACCAAAGTTCCGTCTGCACGTGCTCTTTTGGGTGAGTCGCCTGAAAAAGCAAGCGATCGGGTGTGTCGCCTTCGCTTAATGCAAGGGAACTTGGTTTTTATTGGTTATGGCTCGCAAGTCCGTTTTGAACGAAATAAATGGTTTCAGTCATAATTAATGAACATCATATAGGTGACCTTACAAGTTTTTTTATTATAAGAAAAATATAAGAGCCTTTTGACGCCGCGAACGGGATGAAATAGAAAACTTCACCGGCCTTTTCGCAAAAAAAGGGAATAGTCCCGATTTAAATTCTGCTCCCCAGAAAAAGCTACAATGAAAATTATTTAAATTTATACTTTAAATTCAATCAAATTTATTTAAATCGCTGCAGTTCGTTCATTTGTGGTAAATAAATGCATGTTGATTCTGAGGTATCCCCGGTTAAATAATTTGTGCAAAACTCCTCTACACCGCCGCAAGTTTTCCGAGTGGTGCGCTGTTTCGGAGTGATTTTTACTTCACCAGGTTCTTTTCTTTAGTTGTTTTCGTCTCATCAGCTCAGTTTTATTATTTCTGTAGTGTCTGCTAAAATGATCCGTTGAAAGATATGTCGAATAAAGCTTCAGTAGGAGGTCACGAAAGGAGATTCCCATTTCACCTCAAGTATGGTTTCAAGCTGTCAACGGTCTATGCTTGGCTGAATTTAAACAATGGCTTCCTGGTCAGATGGGGGACAAATTTTCCCCCATATTTCGGTCGCTAAGGCGTGCGGCTCGCCATGAGTGAAAGAGGACATCTAACATTGCACGTGATTTTAGAGCATGTTTTGTTGACATCGCCGCTTCCATAGCAACAGAATATCTACACACTGGAAATTTTCTCGAAATCTAGTCATAATCCGTTAATAATCCTCTAGTGTGCTAATAGTTTAGACCTAATGGCTTTACCTTAGCAAGATTAAAAAAAATCGATGAGAGCGTTTTCGATATAATTAATATATAGATTTAGACAGGGCTAAAAGCGAAGCTCCCATTAATAAATTTATAATTTATCAAACAATAGTAAACTTGTAATCCACAAATCATTAACTTTAGGGCACATTCATGTGACTTCTAAGGGTAAGGCTACATATAAGTGATTATAGAGAAAAATAATTGCAAACGGTCCAAGTGTGAAACAATTGTGTAATTTGTCTTGTTTAATAGTGCAAGAGACATTTTCCTGCTTCGTTCGGATTGTTCGGCGATAACAAAGTGCATAATTTTTCGCTATTGAATTACTTTAAGCTTATAATTAACTTGTTTTGTGAAGGATAAACAAACGTTAAAAACGGAGGACACTTTACACAGATTAGATTTCCCAACACAGACCAATTGCAAATTGTGGTCTTTCCCAGCTGAATGTCAGTCTTTACGTCGATACGGCCAACTTTTTGAACGATTCAGGCTCTATTATATTATTATATTTAGTCATTTAGTCTGACAATATTGTAAAAGGTTATTAGTTACGCTGTGGCTCTATGGCCGGTAACCTGTCAAGGTGTTGAAAACACTAAATGACCGGCAGTCCTGTATTCTCCATAAATTTCAAAAATCGAAAATGTCCAGCTGATCTAAACTATCATCTGTCGATTAAGAAAAGTCAAACGATCTTCCTGAAATGCTTATTATAGATCTCAAGAATAGCGTTTGGTTTACGCTGGGTTCAGAAAACGAAATCATGTTTTATGACACTTGGACCTTTTTTCAGCTCGAGTGCCTGTCAGGGTTTTCAAATCACTATATGACCGGCAGTCCGGGTATTTTCAATAAAAGATCCAGCCATAAGTAAGTGTCCCCACGCATTTCAGGATCGCTTGACTTTTCTTATAATCGACATATGGTAGTTTCGTTTAGGTGGATTTTTTCGATTTGTGAAATTTACGGAGAATATAGGGACTGCCGGTCATTTAGTGTTAGCTAGTGTTTTGAACACCTTGAACGGTTACCGGCCATATAGACAGAGTATTAGATAAGGTTAAAAACTAATTGTAATTAGTACTAAGTTGAGAGCTGTAGTTAGTTAAATTTTTCCGGTAATACTTGTAAAATAATGATTGTTTCCGAAAAGCCCCTATCGGTGGGAAACAATAAAGAATGAAAATAGATTGGATTTCGTGACTGGATTCGTGAAAAACGCTTATTTTGCTAGATGGTTTAAGCCATGCAGCCCGGTTTGCTAGGCGGCTAGCCTGCTTTACCAGGCTGGTTCAGCTCATGCCTTGTTTCCACTTAATACGAGAAGGCGGGCTAGCTTGCTTTCAAGATGCCGGTTTCTCGAGCAGAGATCTCGTCAAGCGTGCTTGCCCGCCTTTACATATAAACACGACAATAATTTTAACCAAAAAATATAGCATAAGCCGAACTAGCCCGGTAACGAGCGGCCAATCCAGGCAAACTGGACTGGCTCACCTCATATAGACAGGCTTTAAATGATGCATCCTCGATCCCATCACACAAAAAGACTCCTCATCGGATCAAGAAAATGAATTTATTATTTGTTAAGAATGCCTTATTTTGGAAGTTCTAACAAGCACGTCCAAATAGTGCAAATTCATTTTGTTTTTGTGCCTGCTGACGACTTTGATGCCTTTTACATGAACGTGCATTAATGATCATGACCTACCAGGGTATGAAATGATATAAGCAATTTTCGCTAGGTACGTTTTCGAAAAAACGGCTAGCTATATATGGTTACGAATAAAATAATGCCAATTATTCAATAAGAGCACTAACGCTGGCGCCAAAACAAAAAATTTGCTCAGTTGATCAACTGAGCTAAAAAAGTCAGTTCTGTCACGGTCCGCCGTAAAGAAGGGATGCCTTTAAGCGTTAGCCCTTTGCCCAGAGCGAAGGTCGAAAATTTAAATTTAAACGGCTATCTGGCAAAGATGTACTCTCTAGCTATTGTTTGTATGCTAAAGCGTAAAATATCAAGGCGCTCTAAAATATTACCAAGTACACTGAAAATCGATTTACAAACGATCATGTAACTGTTGAACGTTTTTCTCCACACTTAAACGCCCAGTTTGTGGGTAACGGAATAGACTGTTTTTGGAATTGAACATTAACAAAAATGTTCACTTTTCTAGTTCTAAAGCTGGTTGAAAAAGATTTTCTTTCTTTTTTAATTAAAAGTGAAGCTTTTCAATATTACTTACTACTAAAGTTGGTTTCATAATGTGTTGCTAAGAGAACTGTAATATCATCTCTTGGGTAAATTAAGGACTGAATTACTATATTTTATTTCAAAAACGTAACCTGATACTACGCTGATGCTTACAACTTTTTGGTAATTTTTGCTTTTAATGAAGTCGTTCAGTGATTCTACAGCCAGAGTTTGCCAGTGAAACCTCCATTTTTAAATCTCCTGCACCTAATTGGGTCAGTAACAAAATTCTTGATTCTAATTGGTTTTCAGCTGCCTTTATTTATGGGTTAATCTGGCTGATGAAGCACCAAAACTGCCGTCCAATTTGACCTGTCCGATTAGAAGCTGCTTCATCGAACAAGTCAAATCGGATCGTTGAAAAAAACAATAAAAACAAAGCATCAAATGTTGCTAGCAAATGAGGCTTAAAAATTAGTCTATAATAGCAAATTAAAAGCAAGAAAAAAAAAACTTCAGTGGGCAAGTCTTTCAGCTCCAGTTTGACCAGGAACCCAGTTTTTGGATGGACACAAAATAAAAAAAGTCTATGCAGTTCTACCTTTACATCTCGATATTTTCTACAAAAGCTACAAGCCTTTTTTTTGCATTTGAACCTGTAAGCTGGTGTAAAAAGAACCTTGCCTTTAAAATATTCCAATTATAAGATTATCGCATTTAATAATAAGTGTCGTAAAATTCGGGTATAATCACAAGGCCCCTAAGAATCAGCCAATGTGAAATTACTCCCCTGGTTAATGCGTGAATTGTACTTCACTCAGTCCTTATACTATTTCTTTACTTATCATCACACTTTGCCTTGACTGGGACTTGATCCCTCCATTTGAATGCTATCGCACTGTAGAAAAGGACATGGGGTCCTGGGCTTTGATCAAACTTCATTTGTTCCTTATCTGAAGCCTGCCAGCATTTCAAAGTGTAGACTTGATCCTGATCGGCCTTATCTGAATTACGGCAATACAGCTCACAGATGTTAAGGTGTGGGTCTTTCATCACTAGTTGAATAGCTTTCTCATACGCTTGTTTCTTTTTAAGTTTGAATGCAGAATAAAACATTTTCCCATTTGAAGGCCAAAATCCGTAATCCTTTTCAAGGTCCTAGGAGCAAACACAACACATTATTAATAAACATGATAATGAAAATGATAGTGATAATGGTAATGATAATGATAATGAACAATAGTTGACTGAGGCTAAGTTGTATGTGTATAGAATTGTGCAGATCGAGGAGAATGTTACAATAGACTCCGGGATCAGCATAATTCTTCACATCATACGAAATCCGAATTTAAAATTTGTTTAGTTATTTGTTCAAAATATTTCTATAACAAGTTTACCACCGCGTAGACTAGTTTTCTTCAAAACTTATGCAGATTTCTCGGCACGGTTTCAGGATATAGTGTGTTATGGGAGATGTGCAATTAGCGAGGCGATCAATCGAAAAAAGCATTTAAATACTGAGCCTAATATAGAGTGTTTTCACATGGCGTCACGGTGGCCATATTGGTGTCCCAAAACAATGAAACGGCGGCCATGTTGGTGTCCCGAAACCAATCCTGTGGGAGTTGAACTCTTTTCTTATGTAAACGCTTTCTATTGTTTCAATAATTTGCATAGATGCTGGTCTCGTGAGTGAAAACGCTCTACATCAAGAGTATAGCTTTTCAATTGCTTTGATGAGAAAAATGTTGGTATTCAACAACAGCCCTTTTCACCTTCATAGAATGAACTTGATATTTTCCATTTGAAAGGACTATTGAGCATTCTTAGATTCATTCGTTTTTAAGTGTTTCATAATATATTCAAAATAATTAATACCTGCTCAAAAAAAAAGTGACGTAACCAAACTCAAAAATACAAACCCTCTCTTGATATTCTTTGCTTAACTCTTGCAGTTCCATTCGAACGTCCTCCTTTTTTCTACGTTTGTCGTAAAATTTCTTCAGTTCTTTAGAGACTTCTTTTTTCTTTTCCTCCTCTTCGTCCCAGGTGGCTTCCAAGACTTGAGCTGCGTCTTCATAACTGCCCCCCAGATTTCTGAGCAATTCCCAAATTGGTATGTAGGCTTCATGAGGACCACGATCAATCAAGGCCCAGGTGGAGTTGTAAGACAGTAATTTTTGAAAGACCACTGGATTTGTCGCTGCTGGCCCCATTGCATGAACAGTGTAAGTATAAGAGGTCTTTTTCTGATCTTCTTGCTCTCCCTGAGTCTTGCCTGTGCTTTCTTGGTGCTCTGCTTTTACGCTTCCCCCAATGCCAAACGCTCCGCCAAGAAAACCGAATGACATCTGTGTTTGAAGCTTTTCTGTGGCTGCTTTGGTCAGAGTTGTTGTCTTTTGTACTCCCTCACTCTCGGCGTCTGCAATGCTAAAAAATACTCCACCAAGCGTTTGAACACCAGCAGGAACGTGACTCCCGAACATTTCCATGAAACGGCGCGCTCTGGCTTTCCTCTTCCCGGCGTCCTTCTCAGAAACTTTGCTGATAAAATTTGCCATTAACTTTGCACTTTCTGTCAGCTTCATTTGCTCTTGCTCTATCTGGAAACATTTCTTGGCAGTCCAAATGAATTGAAGAACAGAGGCACTGGTACTGTACGTTTTAACAGATCGCGTCTCATCGCGGTGTTCTTCTGAGCTGTATGCCCCTTTAACCTCTCCTACAAGTCCTCCGTAAAATCCAGCCACACCAAACCCAATACTTGCACTTGACGACTTGACAGTGTGCACATAGTTTGCTGCCGCTCTGCTTTCTTGGAATTTAAGGTACCTTATCTTCATAGCGTCATCTGGATTTGTCAGAGTGACGTTTGAGGGCATCAAGATAATTGGTCTTCCAGCTGTTTGAGGCGACGCATACTTTGAGTAATAAATACCCCGAAGTGAGCGACCACCACTCGCCTTGGCAACGGCGTCAAGATCGTTTTTGTAAGACTCTGCAACTTCTGCTATACTGCTGTATTGGTTGATTATGCCACCAAGATCTGTCAGCAGCTGCTCGGGGGTGACGGTATCTTGTTTGCACCAGTCCGATGGCAACTCAAGGACCTTCATCATCTCAGCCATTTTCTCTTTTGTGGCTTTTTTTGCCTCTTCCGACTGCTCCGTGGCCATGGCTTTTGCCTCATTCATCAATTCCTTGGCTTTCTTCAATTTCTCTTCATCGACTGTCTTTGTGTCTGGATTCTCTGAAGGTAGCTTCAGATCAGGTGGTAGGGCAGAGGTCTGCCTGTTGTAAGCTTCGGCAACTTTTCCCAGTTGACGCACAACCTCTAGTTCTCCTTTACTTGCCTTCTCACCTTCGTCTTCCGAACTTTCTGATTCCGTTGGCTTTCCCGATCCTTCAGTATCGTTGTTACTTGGTGACTCTTCGGCTTTTTTTGGTTCCTCTGGCGTCGTGCACAAACTTTCCAGTTCCTCCGCTGGAAGCCGGCTGAGTGAGTGAAGCGATGGGACCTTATCAATTAGTCTTTTAACCCATGGTTTGGTTACGTCAATTCCTTTGGCTTTCAGTCCACCAAGTACCTCCAGATTCGGCCCCAATCTTCGTTTTACCATTCCGAGTCCTTCTCCATTCAAAACATCTTTGGAGGTCAAATACAGATGTTCAGCGAGTTCGGGGACTTTTGTCAGAAACTTCGACACAAGGGTACGCGCCTCTGAGGCCAATCCAGCATTTTCCACCATCTTCTGAAGGTCATTACTTAAACCACGGCAGGAGACATCATTGAGCTCGTGGAGCAGTTGATCTTTAAGTTCGGTATTGTGAAAATTGGAAATCTTTTTTTCCAGTTGTCTGATCTGTCCCTCAGTTTTACTGGGATCACTTTCGTCCTGCATAATTTTGCGGATTTCCCCGAGGATTCTCTCATAACGCTGTTTCTCCTCTTCCTCTCTCTTTCTTTCCCTCTCCTCCTCTTTTTCTTCTTTCCTTGTTTCATCTTCTTTTTCTTCCTCTGGTCGTTCGTCTTCCTCATTCACACCGTCCACACTGTCACGCCCTAAATCTTTCTTGTCGCTGGTCTTGGCGCCTGTAGCGTACCTTTTTACTGAATCCCAGATACTCCACATTACGGATAATCTAGATGAAAAATGAATTAGGGATTCATAAAATTTATATAATTGGTATGATCGATCGTAATTAAAGTGGCTATGTAACGCTATATGCCATCTTTTCTAAAAATAACTCAGTAAAACGTGTTTTCGCATCGTGAGAGCGATTTTTGCATGACCTTGAAATGAAAAACGCGGAAACAAAACAGAAACAGCAAATGAACGTAGATAGAGCAATTTGATAAGTTTATCGAGCGGATAAAAACGCGCGTACGTGGCTTTTGGGTGGTTAAGAGAATGCTCGGCTGAAACAACTTCTTTGCGCCAGAACTTTCTAGAAACCAATCGATACTTTCCTTTGACGTCATACTGTAACATGATTGGCCAATCGAACAACGCCTCCTCCATATTAGGGGTTTCTTTGGCGGGAAAACGAAGAGTCCATGTTTGATATCTCTATTCACCCCATTGGCTGATAAAACAAATAACGAACACGTACCGAAACCATTTTTCAAGGCCATACGAAAGTAGCTCTAATTGCATTCCAAAAATAATGGCTTAGATTTATTACTTCTAAAAGGCTCAATTTATATAGTTATTTATTTGTTTTTTTTTAGTCACATGGCATTAAAATAAAACGTTACAAAAGGTGCTTAATAAAAATGTAAGTTGAATTGACAAGGAAGCCTAAAGAAGCTGGGAGCTAGGTTACAAAGGCAATACATATATCCATACATATATCCAAGACCATTACATGTCAGTGTTATTATTTTCAATGTTTTACATTCAAAAGATGCGATTAATTCAAACCAAAATGTACTAGTCATGGAGGTATGAATAGTGCGCATTATTTTGGAAAAATTAGCATAACGTCAAAACAGTCAATGTTGTAACGCAGATTTTTGACAGGTTCGTAGGATAGGTTTGTCTTAAAATTTTAAGATGTTGCAGTGAATCAATCTGAATGAAAGTTTCAGACCTTATTATATACATTATGAGGATTATGGTAAGAGATTTTTAAAAAATTCGTTCCTGTCGTTTCAGAGATATACAAAAAAGCGTTAAAAGTCCAAATTTTGAATGAAGTTGAAATTATACAGGTGGTGAGAAAACAGGTTAGTTTTCAAGATCTCAAGAACGAAAATACACCAAAATTTCCTAGCATCAAAATATGATATTAAGCAGCATTCCGACGCTACTTAAGAATAATTTGAGTCATTTATAACCTTTTTATTAAATAATCTATCCCGCCTATTGAAAATTTAAGGTTTGAAATATATTTTCGTTTTAGTCGATACAAATATACAAAATATTTTAATTCTTACGGAGATCGTTTGCTAAACACCAAACTTTATGTTCCTAGTGTTGGATTTTCAGTAGCTGGTCTAGATCAAACAAAATTCGGCTTTTATCAATTTCAAAGTTTTTTGTTTATTGTTGTCATAGTAATATCGATTTTACTTAAAACTACATGTTCACAAATTTCAATCCATAGCCAATTACTGGTGAAAATTTTATAGCGATCGGACAAGGAAAAAAAACACTTTTAAGGCGATTGAAAAATATCCGTATGGCCTCTAAAAAACTGTATCGAAACACCTTAAATGCCAAATTTCAGCCTGTAGGTTCTTAAATCACTAGGTATTTATATGCGCGTTTTTGCTGTACCATAGCGTCTCAGTTTGTGGCACAATATTTTGATTAATTGATTAGGCATTGAAACGGTTTTTTGTTGTTTTTTGCAAGGGATGACAAGAATGGACTAAAAATCGATTAAAACTTGAAAAATTGGGCCAGCGTTATCAAGTCTCCAAAAAATGTTTCTTGGCTTGTGCTCCCTGAAAAAATATGTTTAATACCGTTTCATATCTCTAATAATGGAACACTTTTTGTCTGTGTAAAGGCGTAAAGTAATGAATTAAATACAGAATTGGCCTAAAACAGCAATACAATGTAGCCGCTCTTAAAATACATAACATCATTGATAAAAGTCTAAAAGATGTAAATAAATAAATATATAAATTTAACTACTAACCAGCTGCTGAAACTTTACCAAAGCAAAACTGACAGTAAGATCTGAGCTGCCTAAAAAAATTTCAAATGAAAACAAATTATAATAAGCACTTTGCAAAGTTTGCTACGGAATCAGGAGATATTTTAATTGCGTTGCATTCTAAAATATTAAAAAAGAGATTCAATGTGAAACTGGATGCAGAAGTTAAAATTGGTCAAATATTACTGATAATAAGGGCTACAAATGAACTTGTGTTGAGCATAAGTTGGTAGAGAGTGCAATGATATTATGGTGACACTATAACACGGCAGAGAAAGTAAGATTTGACTGAGCCTAAAAGTAAAGTCATTCGTTCAAAGGATATGTTGCCGGAGAGCTTGCTCCCAGCTAGGCCAAAATGATCAAAATAATCAGAAACGAGCTATAATCTTAAAGTTGATAATTTGACCGCGTTGAAACAAACTTAAGCAATGAACCGTATGGAATAAATTGCGGACTGAATCAAATTTCGGATAGAACGTTTTAGACCACCTCTAGGGAATTGGATCTGAGCTTTTAAGAAAGTCTAAGAAGTATTGTAAGGTTAGAAGTGACTCAATAAAAAAAAGGATACTTACCCTACTGTATCCAGAGGTATACTAAACAATCTGCACGTTTTAGCCGCTGTTTATGCGTTTTGCCATCCCGTAATGGATGACTTGAAGAATGTTTGGAATATTGTTTTTTTTCCTTGTTCTACATTTTGTGTTTGCTGACTAACTAATTACGTTAATAAAAAGGAAGAAACAACTAATTTGCTTTTGTGATTGAAAAGAATTCAAAGTTGAAAGTTCGGTCTCATTGAAACACTTCCTGTCCTTGTTGATCAATATCAGGTGTGCAGGTCATGGTCAATAAACGTGAACTTGGAAACAACTTACAGGTCCTTTGATATATTAGGGCTTGTAGTCTATACCTACACGAATCAACCATCAACAAAGGGATAAGTGGGTAGTTAAGAGATGGTTTAATAAGTGTGGTAAATCATAACCTAACTGAACAAAACAGGTTTCGGTGGCTTAGAAATATGACGCTACGTTGAGTGCCACAGAGCAGAAATAAGAATTTAAAATGGCAGGAAACTGAGAGCTGGTTTCGTGACAAGTGCCATGTTTCTACTGCTTGATGATTATCTTCACTAAGGTTGGGGTGGGATGTGTTCCTACTGCTTCATCTTTATCTTCCGGGGGAGTGGGGTGAGATGCCGTTGGGCGCTCCGCGAAGTACATTATGTAGCGTGGCTTTTAAAGTATTCATCATTTCTGATCCTTTGATTGGGTACTACAGGCTGCTACATAGAGCCGAAAATACGTCGTTAAAGATGGAAAGAAAAAGATAAAAGATTTTGACTTTGTTTCTAAGCGTTAAAAGGGGGGCAATCCGTTCTGTTTTCTTTTCCAACGCGAGGGTCGGTCGGCGTTAATTATGAACCTTCCTGGAGTTCATTTAATCAGGATCATTATCATTTGGATGTGATGCGCTGCTTTCA